AGGATCCCGAGAGAATGGAGGAGAAGGGATTGTGGCATGGCCATCCCCCCGGGGGGTGATTTCTCACTTTCTGTCTCTGTCTCTCTCTGTCTGTCTGGCAAGCACACACGCCCTATAGCAAAAACCTCTCCAAAAAAAAAGACAGGTCTATTCTGTTAAGTCACATAACACATTTACTCATATTTTAAGATCTTTCTTGGAAGAGACAATAAAGTCATTTTATTAACTTAGAGGCCAAATCAACAGGTAACACAGTAAGGCAGATTTCATTCTAGTGTCAGGAAGAATTTTTTTATATAGTAAGATAAATATATATATAGATAGGTAGATAGATACGCACACATAAATGTTCCATGTTAATCTTTGCTATGTATACAGTGACATTGTTGTGTCACCATCTCCCTCCAGAACCTTCCCATCTTCCCAAACTAAAGCTCTGAATATAGTAAACAGTAAGTCCCCATTCTCCCCCACCCCTTTGAGTTTGCGGTAATCACTACCCGACTTTCTATCTTTACGAATTGACCTAGCAATCTCATATAAGTGGAATCATGCAGTTATCTATCCCTTTGTGCCTGGCTTCTATCATTGGCATAAGGTCTTCCTGGTTTATCAATGTTACAACATGTATCAGAATTTCGTTCTTTTTTAAGAGTGAATAATACTTCACTAATATACGTATATAAACACACACACGCACACACACACTCATACCACATTTTATTTCCACATTCTCCCATCAGTGAACATTTGAGTTTTCCTCTTTGGGTTACTGTGAATGATGCTGCTATGAGCATGAGTGGACAAGTATCTGTTAAATACCTGCTTTCAATTACTTTAGAGATCTACCTTAGAGTGCAATGGCTGTAATCTTAGGTTTAATTTGGGAAGAGAGGGAACCACCATTTTGCACAGCTGTTGCACTATTATACATTCCCACCCACAAGGCACAAGGGTAATATTTTCTCAACATCCTTGCCAACAAGTTATTTTCTGGGTTTTTGTTTGTTTAGAAAGATTTTTGCTATAGGGCATGTGCACTCACCAGAGACACAGAAAGTGAGAAATCACCTGGGGGGGAGGGGGAATGGCCATGCAGCAATCCCTTCTCCTCTGTTCTCCTCTCGGGATGTTGGGCATGCATGCACACATACAGAGTGAGTTTTGCCCTTGTTTTGTTTTATAACAGCCATCTTAATGGATAGAAAGGAAATTTTGTTTTTTTGTTTGTTTGTTTTTTAAAGAGAGATTTTTGCTACAAGGTATGTGTGCTTGCTGGAGAGACAGAGAGACAGAAAGTGAGAAATCACCCCCCAGGGAGGATGGTCATGCTTCAATCCCTTCTCCATTCTCCTCTCAGGATTTTAGGCATGAACACACACACACCCTGTGTGAGTTTTAAGCTGCCAGGGTCCAGAACTGGAACCATGGTCGATTATTTATAGCAAAAACCTCTCCAAAAAAAAAGACAGGTCTATTCTGTTAAGTCACATAACACATTTACTCATATTTTAAGATCTTTCTTGGAAGAGACAATAAAGTCATTTTATTAACTTAGAGGCCAAATCAACAGGTAACACAGTAAGGCAGATTTCATTCTAGTGTCAGGAAGAATTTTTTTATATAGTAAGATAAATATATATATAGATAGGTAGATAGATACGCACACATAAATGTTCCATGTTAATCTTTGCTATGTATACAGTGACATTGTTGTGTCACCATCTCCCTCCAGAACCTTCCCATCTTCCCAAACTAAAGCTCTGAATATAGTAAACAGTAAGTCCCCATTCTCCCCCACCCCTTTGAGTTTGCGGTAATCACTACCCGACTTTCTATCTTTACGAATTGACCTAGCAATCTCATATAAGTGGAATCATGCAGTTATCTATCCCTTTGTGCCTGGCTTCTATCATTGGCATAAGGTCTTCCTGGTTTATCAATGTTACAACATGTATCAGAATTTCGTTCTTTTTTAAGAGTGAATAATACTTCACTAATATACGTATATAAACACACACACGCACACACACACTCATACCACATTTTATTTCCACATTCTCCCATCAGTGAACATTTGAGTTTTCCTCTTTGGGTTACTGTGAATGATGCTGCTATGAGCATGAGTGGACAAGTATCTGTTAAATACCTGCTTTCAATTACTTTAGAGATCTACCTTAGAGTGCAATGGCTGTAATCTTAGGTTTAATTTGGGAAGAGAGGGAACCACCATTTTGCACAGCTGTTGCACTATTATACATTCCCACCCACAAGGCACAAGGGTAATATTTTCTCAACATCCTTGCCAACAAGTTATTTTCTGGGTTTTTGTTTGTTTAGAAAGATTTTTGCTATAGGGCATGTGCACTCACCAGAGACACAGAAAGTGAGAAATCACCTGGGGGGGAGGGGGAATGGCCATGCAGCAATCCCTTCTCCTCTGTTCTCCTCTCGGGATGTTGGGCATGCATGCACACATACAGAGTGAGTTTTGCCCTTGTTTTGTTTTATAACAGCCATCTTAATGGATAGAAAGGAAATTTTGTTTTTTTGTTTGTTTGTTTTTTAAAGAGAGATTTTTGCTACAAGGTATGTGTGCTTGCTGGAGAGACAGAGAGACAGAAAGTGAGAAATCACCCCCCAGGGAGGATGGTCATGCTTCAATCCCTTCTCCATTCTCCTCTCAGGATTTTAGGCATGAACACACACACACCCTGTGTGAGTTTTAAGCTGCCAGGGTCCAGAACTGGAACCATGGTCGATTATTTGGGAGTCTAATGACATAACCATTTGCCATCTGCTGGCCCCAGGAGGGAAGAATTTTTAATAACTCATTCCACACCGCAGTGGGACCAGCTGATCCAAAGGTAAGGACTGACAGATATGCTCTTACAAAGACTGGACAAATTGGCATGTTCAGTTACACGTGTGTACAGCGGTCATAGGATGAAGAGAGACTGAAACTCAACACAGTCAGTCTGGCTGTCCAGCTTGTCCTCACAGGGGCTATAGATAAAAATATATGAATACACAGGGTTAACCTAGTCTAGCAGGACTAGATGAATTTTAAGGCCCTCAGGACCAGCAGATGGCATAATGGTTACATAGTCGACCATGATTCCAGTCCTGGACCTGGAGGCTCAAAACTCACACCGGGTGTATGTGCATGCCTAAAATCCCTGGAGAATCTATTGCAGCCTGGCCACCCGCCTGGGACGGGTGTCTCTTTGGTGAGCACATGCACCCTTTCGCAAGAATCTCTTTTTTTTTTACTTTTTTTTTTTTTTTTGGAGAGGTTTTTGCTATAGGGCGCATGCGCTCGCCAGACAGACAGAGAGAGACAGAGAGACAGAAAGCGAGAAATCACCCCCCGGGGGGATGGCCATGCCCCAATCCCTTCTCCTCCATTCTTCTCTTGGGATCTTGGGCACGTAAGTGCACGTGTCCGGCGTGAGTTTTAAGCCACCAGGTCCGGGACGCGAACCGTGGTCAACTACATGGGAGTCTAGCAACATAGCCATTATGCTAACTGCTGGTCCCCAAAAATCTCTTAAATAAAAAATAAAAAATGAATATTAAGTCCCGTTGCAATGGTGGTATTCTGTCCATCTCTTTCATGGTTTCAAAGAATGGTCCGGAAATTCTTTGGCTTTTCTCCCATTGACTTGTGAGTCTCTATACCCTCCCATTGAATCCAGGATCTGACTGCTTGCCTAATAGAATTGAGCAAAAGTGAGGCCATGCCAGTTTCTAAGCTGAGACCTGGAGAAACTAGCAGCTTCCACTTCCTGTCTATTGGGATGGGACACTCATTCTTGGAAACAACCACCATGCTATCAGGAAGCCCAAACTACTCTGCAGCAAAAAGTGCCCAGAGAAAAACTAACACAACACCAAGCCAGTGAACTGTCTTGGAAGTGGACCTTCCAGCCCAGCTACACAAAGCAAAACCGAGCTGCGGGAGGAAGTCCAGGTGGAATAGCAGATTGAGGAGCAGAGTCAGTGACAGCTGTCACTTTATGCCACTCCTTGCAGGGTGATTGTTTAGCTATAAGGGATAACCAGCGCCATGTGACCACGTGACCAGTGGGCCACCTCACCTTTCAGTGCTAGGATGACGCCAGCAGCTCATGGAGAGATTCCAAGGCCAGCTACCCCTGAGGTGCCCCCGTTTCCTCTCACACTCAGAAGTAGAGGCCTTGGGGCCTCCTTTCCTCTCCCACCTTCAATTTAGAATAAAGTCCCTGTCCTGAGGAAGCTCCTGAGACCCACTTTCTGCGGGGTCTGTATCCTTTTTTGTTTTAATTTCTTGAGAATATCATGTTTCGCTGATCCCTACGTGGAGTCTTCCACATGTCTCAGTGCGTGACCTTGGCGCTCTGGCTCCAAGGGACAAGATGGAAGCAAACATGCTTGATCCAGCAAACTGCAGTCCACTTTGGGGTCTGGAACTTCCCATGAGCTTAAGAGGGAGCGTGCAAACCAAGCCACGGGGCAGGGGACACCTTGGGCTCTGGCTCCTCCGGGGATCCCATCACAGAGCAGCACGGATGGTGGGGAAGATGGGCTTCTCTGCAACCGTCCAGAATTCTGAGTTGCCCACCAAGCTCTCCCCTTTCTCCTCGGACCCCATCAATCCCCTTCATTTCAGGAAGGAAACGGTTAAAAGACTCCTGCCCTTCAGGCCCTGGAAGGGGGCAGCAGTTCTGTGCTTTCAGCCGCTGCCTCCCAGGAGGCTGGAAGGCCGGGAGGCTGTTAGGGTTCTGGAGTGGAGAAGGTCTGGGAGCTTGGGGAGGAGAAGCGGAGGACAGACGGAGGCGTGTTCTTCTGGAGTTTCCTTTCCCTCCGAGCCCTCGCGCGCGTACAGTCAGCCCTCGGGTCTGGCGCTCGGGGAGAGGGGGTGGAGAGGCTCATCCGCCCCACCCGCGTGTCACCGGAGGCTGGGGGCTCTGCC